CATTGATTGGTAAGGAATAAAACTTTGAAACTTGAAATGAAGACATCCATATGGACCCAAATGAAATGAAAACTCTCGAACTCCCAAGTCATTCTGAATCTCCTCAACCAGCTGAAGTAGCTTTCCCTCCCATAGCTGTACAAATAAACCTTCCTCTGCCTAAAAGCCCTGTGACATCCTTGCCTAGGGCAAATTCTTTGAAAGGGGACGTATTTGTCCTTAAGATCTACCACAACCACCTCCAATTGCTACTAGACTCATAACCAGGGTCAAATTTCAGCATGCTCCAGGCAGCCAGGTACACACTAAACCCAGGAAGAAGTAAACAACAAACTGGTAGAGTGGATAGGCAAACTATGGTAGATGCACACCATGGGATACTATGCTGCAATTACAAGCAATGTACGAGGTGCATATATGCACTATGGGTAAATCTTTGAAACAGGGATGATGCTGGGCACAGTGGCTCAGCCTATAATCCCAGCACTTTAGGAGGCCAAGGCAAGAGGATTGCCTGAGTCCGTGGGTTTGAGACCAGCCTGGGCAACTTGGTGAGACCTCATCTCTACAATAAATCACAAAAACTAGCCAGGGGCTTGGTGGTGTGCATCTGATGTTTCAGCTACCTGGAAGGCTGAGGTAGAAGGATCGCCTAAGCCCAGCAGGTCAAGAAGGCTGCGGTGGCCATATGTGTGCCACTGCACTCCAGCTTGGGCAACAGAGTGAGATTCCAACTAAAAGAAAAAAAGAAAAACAGGGATGAAAAAATTGATTGGGAACAGAATAATATATAAAACACAATGTTATTTATGTAAATTTAAAACATGTGCATATAAAACATCAATATACATTCAATAAGAACACATACAAAAAGATATACATTAAATGCATTTAAATGGTTGCCAGTGGTGGGCAAATGGATGGGAATGGGGAAAAAATTGAACATAGCCGGGTGTGGCAGCACATGCCTATAATCCCAACACTTTGGGAGGCTAAGGTGAGAGGACTGCCTGAGCCCGTGGGTTTGAAGCCAGCCTGGGCAACTTGGCAAGACCTCATCTCCACAATAAATAAAAAAATTAGCTGGGCATGATGGCGTGTGCCTGTAGTTCCAGCTACATGGAAGGCTGAGGTGGAAGGATTGCCTGAGGTCAGTAGGTCAAGGCTGCCGTGGCTGGGAGTGGGACACTGCCCTCCAGCCTGGGTGACAAAGTGAGATTTCAACTCAAAAAAAGAAAAAGTGAACATAAAAACAGAAGGACTCTGTGTGTATTAACCACAATAATATACTGAAAAACTGAGAAACATGAGTAACTCAGAAGAAAGAGGAAGAAACTCGGCTTGTGGCAAGGACTTTTTGTCTTTGACAAGATACTGATTTAACATAAAGTGCTGGCTCCTTCTCCCAATCCCAGCCTTGAAGATGACACATGAGAAAACCGATGGATGACAATAAAATCTGAGCCGGGCTCAGTGGCTCAGCCTGTAATCCCGCGCCTTGGGAGGCTGAGGTAAGTGAATTACCTGAGCCCGCGAGTTCGAGATCCACCTAGGCAACTTGGTGAGACCTCATCTCTACAATAAATCAAAAAACCAGCCGGGTGTGGTAGCGTGCGCCTGTAGTTCCGGCTACTCGGAAGGCTGAGGTGAAAGGACCACCGGAATCCAGCAGGTCGAGGCTGCGGTGGCTGGGAGCAGCCAGTGCACTCCAGTCTGGGCGACAGAGTGAGACTCCAACTCAACAAAACAAAACAAAACAAAACAAAACAATAAAATCTGGCTGGGCGCAGTGGCTCAAACCAGTAATTCCAGCACTTTGGGAAGCCGGGGCGAGAGGACTGCCTAAGCCCAGGGGCTTGAGACTAGCCTGGGCAACTTGGTGAGATCTCATCTCTACGATAAAAAAAAAAAAAAAAATTAGCCAGGTGTGGTAGCGCGCCAGGTGTGGTAGCGCGCCAGGTGTGGTAGCCAGCAGTTCCAGCTACTTGAAAGACTGAGGTGGAAGGATCACTTGAGCCCAGCAGGTCAAGGCTGTGGTGGCCATGAGCGTACTACTGCACTCCAACCTGGTTAACAGAGTGAGAATCCAACTCAAAAAAAAAAAAGTAAAATCTAATACTTATGCAGCATTTACCATAGGCCAGGAACTTTTATTTAGTCACAGTTTTCTATTGTTATAACTGAATACCTGGGACTGGGTAATTTTTTTTTTTTTTTTGAGTTGGAGTCTCACTCTCACCCAGACTGGAGTGCAGTGGCATGCTCCCGGTCACCACAGTCTTGACCTGTGGGGCTCCAGCAATCCTTCTGCCTCAGCCTGCCAAGTTGCTGGAACTACAGGCATGTGCTACCATGCACAACTAATTTTTGATTTATTGTAGAGAGGAGGTCTCGTCAAGTTGCCCAGGGGGTCTCGAACCCGCGGGCTCAGGCAATCCACTCGCCTTGGCCTCCCAAAGTGTTGGGATTACAGGCTGAGCCAGCAAGCCCTGCCGGGACTGGGAAATTTATACAGAAAAAGAGGCCATGTGGGAGAATAACTTGAGGCCAGAAGTTCAAAACTAGCCTGGGCAACACAGTGAGACTGTCTCCAGGTGGAAAAAAATAGCCAGGCATGGTGGTACATGCCTGTAGTCCAAGCTATGAGGGAAGCTGAGTTGAAAGGATCACTTGAGGCCAGGAGTTTTAGACTAGCCTGGGCCATATAGTGAGACTCCATCTCTAAGAAAAATTAAAAACAGCCAGGCATGGTGGCACAGGCCTGCAGTCCCAGATACTTGGGAGGCTGAGGTAGGAGGATTGCCTGAGTTCAGGAGATGCAGGACACAGTGATCTATGACCAAGCCACTGCACTCCAGGCTGAGTGACAGAGTGACTCTGTTTTAAGATAAAAATAAATAAATAAATAAATAAAAAAGGCCCTGCTCCTCAATACTGTCACATTGGGAATTAAGATTCAATACGAAGCCGGGCTCGGTGGCTCAGCCTGTAATCCCGCGCCTTTGGGAGGCTGAGGTGAGTGGATTGCCTGAGCCCATGGGTTTGAGACCCGCCTGGGCAGCGAGACCTCATCTCTACAATAAATCAAAAAAATCAGCCGGGCGTGGTAGCGCATGCCTGTAATTCCGGCTACTTGGAAGACTGAGGTGGAAGGATTGCCGGAGCCCAGCAGGCGAGGCTGCGGTGGCTGGAAGCGGCCACTGCACTCCAGTCTGGGCAACCGAGTGAGACTCCAACTCAAAAAAAATAAAATTAAAAAAAAAAAAAAAGATACAATATGAGTTTCAGTAGGGACAAACATTCAAACCATAGCAAAGTGGTGCTTCAACAAATAGCACCCGCAGTGAAGCTCAAAATAAGTTTTCAGAGCATACAAACATGTTAACCCCCTATTCTTACAATCATGAACACAGTACCAAAAATTTCTAATCATTTGAGGAAAGCCCCTAGCAAGAGCTTTGAAGTAGGAAAAAACAGCAACAGTAATTTCAAAGGAAAAAACAAAAAAAACACCTTTCAAGAAGAAAACTTTTAAAAAGTTACTATCTTTAGAGAGCTTACTATAAAACTACAGTAATCAAGAAAAGGACAGACATTACTGACCAATCTTTCTAAAATAATGGACCCAGGTATATGCTTCCTACTATGATATTGAGGTAATTCAATTGAAGGTTAGCCTTTTCAACAAAAGATGCCAGAACAAATGGCTATCTGTACTGGAAAACATGAATTTCAATTCCTATACCTCACACCACTAAAAAACATCAAAATGGATTCTAGATCAAATATAAAAGTTAAAAGCTCTAGAACATAGCAAAAACTCTTCACAACCATGAAGTAGGCAGTTTTGATAAGTCACAAAAGAACCATTTTTTGACAAATCAGATTTCATTTGCTCACTTAAAAATAAGAAAAATAAACAGGCAGGACACAGACTGGAAGATATTCATAAATGTTATCTGACAACTTGTATCTGGAACACATCAAGAAATCTTTAACATTTGAAAAACAAGTAATCAGGCCAGGCTCGGTGGCTCAACCTGTAATCCCAGCGCTTTGGGAGGCCCAGGTGAGTGGATTGCCTGAACCCACCAGTTCGAGACCCGCCTGGGCAACTTGGCGAGACCTCATCTCTAAAATAAGTCAAAAATTAGCCAGGCGTGGTAGCGCGTGCCTGTAGTTCCAGCTACTTGGAAGGCTGAGTGGAAGGATTGCTGGAGCCCAGCAGGCGAGGCTGCAGTGGCCGGAAGCGGCCACTGCACTCCAGTTTGGGCAACAGAGACTCCAACTCAAAAAAAAAAAGAAAAACAGGTAATCCAAGTTTTAAAACGGAGTAATTAAACATTTTGTGAAAGAAAATATGCACATGGCTAATGACATGAGAAATTGCCCAATATGAAGTGCAATGTGAGATACTGGATTGGATCCTGGAACAGAAAGAGGACAGCAGAAAACTTGTGAAATCTGAATAAAGTCTAGAGTGTAGTCAATGGTAATGTACCTATGTTAATATCTTAATTTTGACAAATATACCAGTTATGTAAAAATATGGAAATTAGGGGAAACTGGGTAATGCATACATAAGAATGCTATACTATCTTTGCAACTTCTCTGAAAATTAAAAATTGTCCCAAAATAAAGTGCGCAGCATTGTTAGTCATCAGGGGAATGCAAGTTAAAATCACACTACCACCTCATCCACTAGAATGGTTAAAATTAAAACAGATCAACAGCAGCAAATGTTGGAAAGGATGTTATGGAGAAACTAGAGTTCTCATAAATTGCTAATGAAAACATAAAATGATACAGCCACTTTGAGCTGGAATAACTGTGTGAATATATCACTTGCTTTTACCTTTTCCTAAATGTCTGTATAGCTCACATTTCAATGTTTAACCCTTTGCACTCAGAGACATCTTGTGGATCACCTCCCAGAAACTCAACCACGCTTTTTTGCAAAACAGTGAAAAATGAAACACTTCATATTAAATAATACAGCGTTGGAACCAAGTATTTTATTGTGGTATTTAGATTGCAATGGAATTTTGGACATTGAGGAACTTATTTGACAAAAAAGATCAAAATCTTATATATTTCTAACATGTGAAACAGTCATTGACATGCATTGCAGGCTCATTGATACATGTGCAATAGTAATGTTTGACATCTTCCACTTGTTTTTCTATTTGAGCAATGTAGTCTCATTTTTTTCTCCCACATTAATAATTTATTGTTCAGTCTGTACACCACTGTGAAAGTACTTCACACATTCTCTGTAATGCCAGCTTTTTTAAAAACATAGATATCAGTATATATTCCATCCCTTTATTTGCTTTTTCATGCAATTTTAATGGAAAACTTCAAGGAAACATACATTTTTGAAAAATTCACACTGGCCCAAGTTTGTCCTATATAATCATCAGCAATCTCTTTATGTTCCCTGAGACGGGACATCTGAGGGACAAAGGGTTAATATTACTAGTTTTTTGGTCTTTATTTGCAAGTTTGGTTTTGTTTTGTGACCAAAAATGTGCTGTAGGAATCTTATTCTTATATCAATTAGCCTATGGTAAAATTGGTTTTCATTATACATCATTTCAATTAAAGTCACTATTTCGAAGAACCCATCAGTGGTGTTGAAGATTTACTGTATATTATCTACCCTATCACCTCATCAATTCTACACCAAGATATTTATCTGTAAGAAATGAAAATACGTCCAGGACTTGTACAAGAATATCCATAGCAGTATTATCCATAATAACCCAAAACTGGAAACAGCCCAAGTGACCATTAACAAACTATTACTTCATACACTGGGAATTCTACTCTTCAACAAAAAAGAACATTCACGCTACATGGATCGAATCTCAAAAGCATGCTGAAAGTAGCTAGACACAAACTACATTGATGTAGAATTTCAATTTACATTAAGTATTAAAATACGCAAAAATACAACAGAAAGCAGGTCAGTACTTCTCTGGTGTCAGGAGGTAGGCTGACTGATAAGAGGCACATGGAAACTTTCTGGAGTGAGCAACATGTTCTGACTTGATATGTCTAAACATGTCTCAAGACTGACCAAATTGTACATTTGAGATCTGTGCATTTCACCATAAATATAAGTGCTATTCATTGTTTCTCAGGGGATAAAGTGAACCACAATGTGTTCAACAGAATGGCTAAAACCACTAAATATTAATGAGGGTAATCTGAACTCACACAAACCATTACTAAGAAAAATATTACTACTATGGAAAAAATGTCTGACATTTCTCATAAAACTATACATCTATCCTATGATCTAGCAATCCACACCTGTTTTCATCTCAGTAATTACATAAAGACTTGAGCATACATAGAAATGTTAGCCAAAAACTAGAAAAGGCTCATGTTTCCATCAGTAGCTCACTGTACTGTACTCACACTCAGCAATAAAAAGAACTGATATATACATGGCAACTCTCAACTACTTTGCTCAATGAAAGCATTGCAAGGCTCCATACGTTGTGACAGCCTTTATTTGATGTTCCAGAACAGGTAAAGCTCATCTGTGAAAATTAGAAAAACTGAAAGTTTATCTCTGAGGGATAAGGGCAAGAATTGTCTGGGAAGGGCCACAAGATAACTCTGTGATGGCAATATTCTCATCTTGGTAAGAGTACAGTACATGCATTTATTACAGTTCACAGAATGGTACACTTAATACTTGAAACATTTCAGATTTAAATTTTATCTCAAAAATCCCTAAGCATTGACTTCATCAGTGATACAGAAGTTAAAACATTTTTCAGAGAAGCACATGGATGTGTGCAATATATAAAGTATCAATAGGATGGATGGACAGACTTTTTTTGGAAAAAAATAGGTGTGGAGCTAAGGCTACCTACAAAATGACACTAAGGGCTTTCTCTGCTATCTTAATACTTAGCTGCATTCTTTTTCCATGTGATGAGTTCTGTTATCTGGCTACATAACCTAAATGCAAATTCTTGTTTTAGGTGCAAATGAACACCAATTAGAGGCAGATACATACAAGACAGTAGGCAAAGCTGAGAATCTAAAAACTGTCAATACATAAGTACATCAGTAAGTGCTGCTGGTTTAACACTGCTGAAGGACTTGGTCAAAAGTGTTTGAGATCCACAGCCACAACCAAATTGTTGCTGACCTGTTTATCACCCCCCCCCATCAAGAGTTAAATAGGAAATAAGTAAAAGCGCTACTACAGTAGACCCCTGGCATTTTAACCTCTAATTCTTAGGTGTGATTGCTCCCACTTAATTTTTAGAGTGAGGATTAAGTCCAGAATCTGAAATACGCCTGAAGCTCACTCCTAATAAAAGAGGCCTAGTCATAGGAACAGACAACCTCAATGTCTCTGAACATTCCTTTGAAACTGATTAAGTACCAGCTGTGCAAAAGAGCTAGTGTTTGGAGTAGGGGAACATGTAACACTTAATAGCCTAAATAAATTCCTAAGTTCAACAGTAAAAAAGAGCTCCTTGCCACAAATAAGATGTATGTTAAATTTTATTGTTTAAATACAAAACATTCCAAAAAGTGATCTATATACCTAAGTTCTATGTTCAACTACCAATTAAACAAGGAAGACATTTTCTATAACATTCCGTTTCTTTTACAACTGGTATAAAAGGCAGAAGAATCAAGACTGATTCTTTTTCCACCAAGTCTGCTAGGTCAGTAAACTATTTGTTAAACAAGTGTCTGATCATTAAAACATACTCCTTACTTTGAATTTAATACTCATTATTTGCCACACTTAATCTCTATATTCTATACTATCTTTAGGATATCTAAATAAAATCTCAAGAGCCAGAAGGTCCTCACAGAAGCATTAACCCAAGTAATTAAGAGTAGGGAAGGATTGAGCTAAGACAGCTATGGGAAGTGCAACTACTATAGAAATTGTCATTACCCTCATGATCTGTAACTAAGTCTGTCAAATGAGGGTTAAAAACTTGATTATTTCCCCCAACTGCAAATGTTAAATACAGCAATGACATAATTACTAAACAAACAAACAAAAATCTCAGAGGCTGAGTTAGTTCCTCTAACAGAACAACTCATATCTGTTTTCTTTGAGAATATTATAATACGATTGGCTCTAGTCTCCAAAGCAATAAACTAAAATTGTATCATAATTTGTATCCAAGATTGGGAAGTGGGAGTAAACGAGGTTACAAAACAATACAGTGAAAGAAAGCCAAGAGGCCTAATTGTTTCCAGCTCCAAGTGTGTTTTCCAGTTGCTACTTTCGTTTCTAGATGTTACTTCTAAGTTTTGTTCTACAACTTAACTACTTCTGGATAAACTATAGCCAAAGTTTCACTTGCTGAAAATCACACTTCACTGGATAGTTACCACTTATGTCCAAACATTTTTTCTAATTCAAGTTGCCCCCATGACTTTAGCTAAACAAAACGAAAGCCAAAACTATAAAATCTACATAAAGAACCACAAGAACTTCCTGACTACCTCCACTTACCAATTTCCTTAATTGCTTCCCTTTCTCCATTTGGTCAATTACTTGTGTTAAGTAATTACCACTCCCTAGTTAAGTGTTAAATCAACACTGATGCCTTCCTCAGATCCACAGGAACCCTTGAAGGCAAAATCTATTGCCTGCACCAAACCAATTCTGACAGCACTGCTTATGTAACTGTTGTGACTTATCTCCAATCAGCCTTGTGCTTCAACAACTCTGTAAAATGAAAAACATGAGATCAGCTTACAAGGTATTTGTTTTTTTACAGCAAAGTACTCCCTCCCCACAACCTATCCTTTAAATACTTTTTGTTGCTTTAACTTGTTTTAAAATGCAAACTCTAGCTGGGTGCGATGGCTCACACCTATAATCCCAACACTTTGGGAGGTAGAGGCAAGAGGATTGCCTGAGCCCAGGGATTTGAGACCAACCTGGGCAACTTGGTGAGACCGCATCTCTATAACAAATCAAAAAGTTAGTTGGGCATGGTGGCACGTGCCTGTGGTTCCAGCTACTTGAAAGGCTGAGGATCACTCAAGCCCAGCAGGTGGAGGCTGTGAGAGTGCTACTGCACGCCAGCCTGTGGAGGAGACACCGACTAAAAAATAAAATGCAAGCTCTAAAAAGCAACCATCAACTTGGTAATATTAAAATTACATACTATATATCATTATGCCAATAAAATCATGCTAATCAAACACGGACCTTGCAGTAGCAGCTGCATCATTAATTTTATTGTGGCTGTGCAAAAGTGAGCAGGCACTTGATAACAAAAAGCACATCCTTTTACAAAATGCACAGGAGTACGTGTGTGTGACCTTCATAAGTCTGCTCACAAATCAGCTGTGTAACTGTATATACCTCCTGTGGAAAACACTTGCATATGAAGAACTATTACCAGGCTTTACAGGTTCAAAAATAGCTAATGTCACATGAACAAGCCATACAAAATGAATGTGCTGTTACACATTAAAGCACATAATCCCATCTTCATTTCCAAGAAGTTAGGTTATTTCCCTTTTAAAGATGAAGTGAGGATCAGATGCAACTTGCTAATGTCACAGCTAGACAAAATCAGTTAAGTTTAATCTTCAAAGGCCACTGCTTTCAAAACTTACCTTAGCATTTGATTTCTCTTGCAGCCAGCTTTATCTACTGTGAATAAATCAGCACTCCATGACCATAATGACCATAATTCTCAACCTGCAAAAGTTAAATAGACGAAAACTAGTTATCTCTCTTAAGGAAATTATTTAAAGCTTGCCTATAACTGCCTCTTTTCCAGAAAGAAAAGGCAAGTTCAGACTTGCAGCTTAATATATTTCATGTTCTACTACTTCTCTTAAGTGGTGGAAGATTCACTGGCTTGGAATGAACTGGAATGGCTTAAATGGTTAAGTTGCATGGCTTATGGATTGTCATTCTGTTCCAATGGTGCACTGCCACGTTAAATCCATAAGTTGAACGGACAAAACTTATTTGAAGGAATAAGTGCAGTGTAAGGATTTTAGTTGGAGGTCTTCAAGTTTACTATATTCAAGAGCATCTTTTTCAACTTGATGGCTGGACCTGGGTCATGCTGCCTCAGGTTTTGCTTTTTAAAGACCACTTGCAATAGATTTTCTCCATACAGTGTAGTTTCATAGAACTAAAAACAAGTCAGGCATCCAACTAAATGTCAAGTTTGCAATGGCTTACAGGGGTTAAGAGGGGGAACCCCAGACTTAAGCCATTTCCTATATTGACTAAAAGACTAATTTGAAAAAAAACTGTTAAAACGTATGAAGCATGTTTAAAGGTCTTCGTCAAAAATAGATTTTAAAAAATACCCCCTCCCAAGCACCAGATCACTGTTGGTAAACAACAGCTGTATTAAGGCCTTTAAGTGTCATACATGCTTTAAAAAAATCCAAGTGTTGAATTTGGAGGACTTCTAATATGCTATTGAACATTTGCTTTTCCAAAGTTTTTTTTTAAAATATAGAAGGCATTTCCATTGCCATGAGGTACAGTATGTTTTAAATCTAGAAGGCATTTCCATTGCCATGAGGTACAGTATGTTTCACTGTACTATGAGGAAGGTAAGTGTTCAATTTCGACTTAGACGGAAAAACTAGTTTGCTTTGCTTACCATCTTTGCTGTTTCACAGGCATTTGATGCTTTAAATCTGATGTGGAATGCTGATAGATTCACTTTTTAGAAGTCATAAGCCTTTAGGAAGTTGGAGATAACTTCATTGCTTATCTATTTTCTCCTTTGCAATCAAGCTGTTCCTTTAAAAGTGAGACACTACAGAGTTGCAAAAATTTGAAACAGTAAGAGCAAGCACCGTTTGCAGCTTCATGGTTGGTTTTGGCCAAACTTTTTTATTTAGTATTCTGTAGTTGTTTAACACACACTTAAATGGTCTTATTGGGGGAGGGGAAAGGGGAGGTTCTTGCAGATTCCCAAGGAAATGTCAGAAAGGCAAAATATGGCCAGCATTATCCATTTGCTTTTTTGGGTTTACTGGGTGAATAGCACTTTCCTTACATAGGCATCTGATCTCAGGTTTTTCATACTGAGAACATTGAGATTTCAGTTTGAAGACACCCTGAAATCCTAAGAGTAGCATACCCCAACCACCCTCTAATAGCTAGCTTGTTTGTATAGGCAGAATGATTCATCTCTCCATTTTAGATGGCTAGATGTTTGTGGAAGATCTTAGAATTGCTTGCCTTATTTACTGGGAAAAATCAGATAGGAAGTGGCCTTTAGGGACACTTTTGCTTGGAAAATTACAACACTAGTACAACAAGTCAAGTCTTACACATTTAACATTTGCTTGTTGAAAGCAATGTCATAAAGTCAAATAAAATTAAACATGTTTTACTTTTTTCCTCACAAGAACATAAAAATTATGGAGGGGAACTTAACAGGAAATTTAAAAAAAGTAACACAATTTTTCCTTTTAGTAGTCCTTGGGTAGTTATGACAGAATAGTTTCCACTTTTTGTTTGTTTCTTTGAACAGGGATTTTGGTCCAAAGTTTTGTTTGTTTCTAGTATCTGCTTCTGCCTCCCCCTCTATCAGATCGGCTTCCTCCACGGCCACCACCTCTTGGTGCTCCGCGGCTTGAACTGCTGTAGGAATCACGTGGAGGAGGGTACCCCCTTTCCATAGAAGGAGGAAGCCCTCTTTCTTGTCTGCCAACCCGATCACGACCACTTGAGTAGAGATCACTTCGGCTGCTTGAGTAACTGTCTCGACTTCCACCATATCCGTCACGTGAGCTGCTGTAATCATCATAGCGACTGCTTCCACCATAAGATGGCGGGGGCCCTCGTGTAGGTGGAGCACTACGTGAGTTACCTGCAGGGTCAATGGTCAGGTAATATGGCAACACTATAAATTGTATATATACAACATTTAAATCTGAATTTACAGAATTCTTGTATTAAAAGTTTACTTTCTCAACTGGGAGGTTTTAAACTCTGCCATTGCTGGCCAAAACAGGGATTTGCTCATCTGCTGAGATACGGAAATGGATTGATTTTAATGTTTGTTTGAAAAGACTGAAGACGGTGTGTATTTCAAGAGGATATTCCAGACAGCTTGTTATTTTATAGTAGACACTCAGCCACTTTCCAGTGATAAGTTGCAATTTTGAACTGTAGAACTTTCCTTCATATTGCAATGGTAAATATTTGATCTTGTTAATAAAATTTTTAAATTGTATTTTCACTGTTGGGGGAAAACACATAAGGCTGCCAATTTAAGCAAGCAAAATCCCCTCCAAAGCAAGCAAACAGCCTCAAAAGAAACTTAGAAAAAACAAAAGCCCCTCACAAAACTAGGAAAAGCCCAGCTGATAAAGTTACCCCTTTAAAAGCAAGCAAACATCCCTTTAAAAGCAAGCACCACGCAGCCTAATAAACTGGCTCATGAACCTAAAAACTCAAGCTGGTGATATTCAAGACCCTTAACCAGTATCTTACCATAACTCTCATATGAATCTCTGTAGGAGCCTCCACTTGGATGATCTGAATAGTCACGATCACGACCATATCCATCTCTATCACTAAAATAAAGAGAAACCTTTAAGTTTCAGAACATCGATTTTTATTTATTTATATTTGAAAGCAGGATTTATTGAGAAGATAGGAAAACTCCCAGAGTGGAAGGGGACCTGAAGGGGTTGCCCAGCATCAATTTTTAAATAGTTGAGTCATGAAAGTGAAGTCACTTACCTATAGCCTCTTGATGGATAGTCATCACGTGAACTGGAATGACCATAATCACGATAAGTATAATCTCTTGGTGGCGGAGCATAATCTCTTGTATCACGAGAGCTTGGGTAATCTCTGCTTGAATAGCTACAGAAACAAAAACAATTTAGTTTGTGCCTTGATGAGTTGTCCTTCAATCTTACTAATGAAAAAGAAACAGTACTTTTCTGTTACCTGTCTTTAGTAGAATATCCATCATCTCTTGGGGACAAATAAACATCTCTACGAGAGGGCAGGGGTTCCCTTCGAGGTGGACCTCCATAACTATCTCTTCCACGTGATACAGGAGCTTAGGGGGAAAAAAATCATCATTTTAAAAACATGGCCAAATAGAAAGTCAAAATGTGAACTTTTTAATTTTTAAAATTTATTTATTATTGTAGAGACAAGGTCTCACCATATTGTCCAGGCTGGACTCGAATCCACGGGCTCAGGCGTCCTCATCCTCTCGACTCTACCTCCCGAAATGCTGGGATTACAAGTGTGAGCCACCATGCCCAGCTAAAATGTGAACCTACATTCAGGCTATGAAAAGTACAGATTCGACTGGGCACGGTGGCTCATGCCTATAATCCCAACACTTTGAGAGGCCAAGGTGAGAGGATTGCCTGAGCCCAAAGGTTCGACACCAGCCTGGGCAACTTGGCAAGACCTCATCTCTACAATAAAAAAAAAAAAAAAAAAAAAAAAAATCAAAAAAATTAGTCGAGTGCGGTGGCGCGCATGCCTCTAATTCCAGCTACTCGGAAGGCTGAGGTGGAAGGATCGCCTGATTCCAGCAGGTCAAGGCTACAGTAGCCGTGAGTGTACCACTACATTCCAGCCTGGATCAACTCAAAAAAAAAAAAAAAAGAAAAGAAAAAGAAGTACGAATTCAGTCAAACAGGACAATATGTAGCTGGATCAAGAAATTTTTTCTCTAAAATTCCCTATTCACACCTTACACATCCTTTTCAGTTCTCTTTAATTTCATATATCTAGATCACCTAGAGTCCATAAGTCAAGTTTTATGCACCATTTAGGATTCACCTCCATTCTCTCTTGTGTTATGATAGTAGCATAGATTGTTATACATGGAACATTTACCTCTTCCTCCCATTCCACTGCTGCTGCGAACTGGTCCTGAAGGGGCAGATCTTTTAGGAGGAGGACCTCCACTTCGTGGTGGTGGTCCTCTTTTTACTGGGAGTGGTCCCCTGGAAGAACTCATGTTAAAATTCATGGAATAGCCACCATCATCTACATTAGAATAGAAATGAAAACTATTGTTAATATTCACAAATAGCAAGAAAGCTATAAAGGTTTTTTTGCTTGATAAAGAATATAACCATGATTTAGTTGGGAAATCTAAACTTAGTTTTCACTTTTACATGACAGTATGAGGAACAGTCATATAGACTGTGAAAATAAAAAATGAAGGGTAGTCTTAATTAAAACAGTACTTAACTTTTTAAGTTAAAATAATTTCATTTTCATACTTGGATAATAAATAGTATACTACCACATAACAATGTAATTTAACTTAAGATGCCTTCTGTGCTTTTAAGTCATAACCACTTCGGTAGATGAGTAAGTGTACTCAGTTTCAAAAGCAGGAGCCTTTAAACAAGGACTTAAGCAAAGCATATGATGGTGAGTTTGCAGTCCCTAATTTATATACCAAGCCTAAGATCCACTGAAGTTATTACCCATGTGCCCTCCCCGTGAGGGAGGTCCCCTGGTTCCTCCACTTCCTCCTCTTCCGCCTCTAAGACCTCTTGGAGGGCCTCTACTTCTTGGAGGTGGAGGTGGTCCACGTCTACCACTTTCAAATGATGGTTTGGTGGCTTGTTCTACCTTGATGGCTTTTCCATCTAAAGACTTAAAAAAATGCAATAAAGTTGGTTAAATTTTATGAAGACTTAAAAAGAACTTGCAAAACCACTCACAATGCACTAACACACTAGTCGATTCTTACAAAAATGCAGTTATAGATAACTTGCTGACAATTACTCTAAGAAAAATGCTATATACATTCAGTTTCTGTAAATGGGACTTTTCCATTTACTTAAAGTTATTAGTCTCTTTTTTTTTTTTTTTTTAAGCTGGAGTCTCACTCTGTCACTCAGACTGAAGTGCAGTGGCCGCTCCCAGCCACCACAGCCTCGACCTGCTGGGCTCCAGCGATCCTTCTGCCTCAGCCTTCCAAGTAGCTGGAACTACAGGAATGCACTACCATGCCCAGCTAATTTTTGATTTATTGTAGAGATGAGGTCTCGTCAAGTTGCCCAGGAGGACCTCAAACCCACGGGCTCAGGCAATCCACTCACCTCAGCCTCCCAAAGTGCTGGGATTACAGGCTGAGCCACCGAGCCCGGCCAAAATTATTAGTCTTTAAACATGATACCGGTGATCTAAAAACATAAGGTGAATGCACTGCACGGCTATCAGATAAAATTTAAAACAAGACCAGGCAGATATCAACTCGCTATCAAAACTAATAACCACAGATAAAGAGTCAAGTTATCAAATTATGGTTTATGGATCCTGAGATAAAATGTAGTATCATAGCCAGGCTCAGTGGCTCAGCCTGTAATCCCAGCACTTTGGGAGGCCAAGGTGAGTGGATTGCCTAGCCTACAGGTTCGAGACCCACCTGGGCAGCTTGGCAAGACCTCATCTCTACGATAAATCAAAAATTAGCTGGGCGTGGTAGCTCGTGCCTGTTGTTCCAGCTACTTGGAAGGCTGAGGTGGAAGGATTGCTGGAGCCCAGCAGGTTGAGGCTGCAGTGGTCCAGTCTGGGTGACAGAGTGAGACTCCAACTCAAAAAAAAAAAAAAAAATGTAGTATCATGTAATATATTATATTCTGAACTGAGAGACTCTTGTTAAGAGTATAATGTATAACTTTGGCTACTAATGATTCTGGAATTACAGACTACTCTTTGGAACAGGATCACAAAGGGGTATGATCAATGGGCCCTGGGGAGGTATATGTTCAAAAATAAAAGTTCAGCCAGGCTCGGTGACTCAGCCTGTAATCCTGCGCCTTGGGAGGCTGAGGTGAGTGAATCTGAGCCTGCGGGTTCGAGACCCACCTGGGCAACTTGTTGAGACCTCATCTCTACAATAAATCAAAAAATTAGCCAGGCATGGTAGCGCGTGCCTGTAGTTCCAGCTACTTGGAAGGTTGAGGTGGAAGGATTATGGGAGCCCAGCAGGTCGAGAGGCTGCGGTGGCCGGGAGCGGCCATTGCATTCCAGTCTCGGCAACAGAGTGAGACTCCGACTCAAAAAATAAATAAATAATAAAAATTCAAGAATTGGCCTACACTAGACTTGGGTAATACATGCTATTATATGCACTAGTAACATGGCCTATGCTTCACTGTAGACAATCGCACCTTCCCATTCATGTCTCTGGCTGCATCCTTAGCATCTGCTGGGCTTTCAAAGGTGATAAAAGCAAATCCTCTTGATTTGTTGGTTTCACGGTCTTTCATCAGGAGTACTAAAAAGTAGTTTTCAAAGAGAAAGAAGTGTTATTCTAGTTCAAATGGCATAACCAACATCAATCTGTAAAGTGAAAGAAAGCTCAGAACTTCTTAGAGGACAAAATACATTATCATGTCAGATGATCAATGCAATCAAATTCATCACAGCTTATCTTTTAATTACAACAGCCTAATCTGTACTTTCAGATAACTCACCTTCCACTATTCGTCCATATTTGCCAAATACTGCTTCAAGGGCTTTCTCGTTTGTTTCCGTATTGAGCCCACCAATGAAGAGCTTTCCTGGGCGATCTGCTTCAACCATTTTTCCCCGATGAGTCTGCTGAAAAATAATATTGTGATCACCATGGAAAAAGTTCCTCAAGTTTATCGGACATATTTAATGGGGCTCATTTTTCATGTTTCACTAAAATTATTATTCCTTAATAACTAAAGGTGCCTAAAAACTTTTTTCCTAAACCTCAGCCACAGTAGGAACGCGATTTTAAGTAGTTTAGTAATAGCGCAATCTACATTAAACTGGTTAAAAGCACCAACTTAACTTTCACCATGACCCTTAATCTCCCTGAGCTGTTCTTAATCAATTAACAGTTACTCAACATTTGAAAAAGCAACCTTTAGTGTTAATCCTGTATTTGTGTTGTCTTTTAAAGACTCAATTAATCATCACACCCTTCTAACGCTGGGGATTTATAAGACTATCAACTCATTCAAGGTCACAGGCCAGACTCACAAACTGAACGCTAAGCACTCTCCCAAGGTCTCATTTTTCTCAGTAGGATTCTCCCTAGCAAATCTAAATAGAAATCTGAAGTTTGAGCCGAGTTATGCCTCCTCCTCTTCACCAGCCCGGACCCACCAAAAATGTTACTATCCGACTAAAACAAATTAGGACAAAGTGTCAACATCATTTCAAACAGCGGAGCCTGAACGGAAACACTGTAACACGCGACACTCACTGACACCGGCGGAACCTAATTAAAGCTCGTCATTAAAAAACCGCGTGGAAAAGACAAAATGGCGACACTTGGATGTAGCCCAGAACCAGCGACAGCGGTCAGGGGGCTAACTTTTACCATCCACACCGGCTGGGAAAATTAAAAAAACCTCGCTTCCAGGGCCGCCAATGAACAAGGAGCCCGCAGCCCGCATAGACGTCCACACGCCGATCATTAGCGCCAATGCCATGCCAATGCAGGTACTGCGGTGGCGCGGTCGCTCCCCGTCCTGCTCCAGCCTACAAAGCCCCGACCTCCGCCAACACTCAGGTAGGCACTGCCAAACTTTCTCGAGAGGCCATAGAGCGTAACGGACCCCCTGAGTTGTTTTCCTTCGACCCCCCCTCAGTTTTATTTAAATAGGTCGGCACCTTGGGGTTCTTAAAATGGCGCCCGCCACCCCAATCTCCAGGGAGATAATCCGTAGTCCTACCGTGGCAATTGTGTACGGAAAACGGACTGAGGAAAGGATACACGTACCGGAGGGGTGACGATGGTTTCAAGCTCCTATGAGCTCGCCTACAAGAGCTCCCTAGCACCTCAGCACGAGTGGCAGCTGCCGGGTCCAAGGAAAGAACGAAGAAGCCACTAGCACTACTGCGCAACGAGGGCGAACAAAGGAGACAGCAAACTTTATACTGCCCGGGAACGAGGCTGAAGGACCCGGATGGAAACGGAGCTTAGAATTTGAAACGCGAAGGGAGGGGGAGCGGTTCCCAGCCTCCTCATTAGCTGATTCCTCTATCACTCACGTGTAGCTCCTCCCCTTTTCCCGGGCCCTCCGCTTTTTGCTCGGTGCCGGTTTATAACCGTTTCCTCTAACCCCGCCCGCTCTCCACAAACGCGCGTTTTTGCTTTCCGCTAAAATGGTGCACGGGCTTCATTTAAGAAAGAACTGAAATTTAGTGCACGTCCTAGTGGGTCAGGCACGGTGGCAAACTTTACTTTTACTTTTCCATTCTTTTAATTCTCAAAACAAGGTGATGCGGTTAGATACTCCTACTTATGGCCAATTTTGCAGAAATAGAAAACAAAGAAGTTTAGGTAATACAATACATTTTCCAAAATTATCTTTAACAAGAATTTTTAGTGAATGGGGGAAATTCTGACAAATATATGTAAACTTCAGGTGAGAAAACAAAACGTACAAAACAGCATGTAGATAGTGCATTCATATACAACAACTACTGAGCACCTACTAAATGGCGGGCTCTAGGCTAAGCCGGAAGGATATAGCCCCAGGAAAAGGCGGACAAGGGTGAGACATCTTGTGGGTAAGGGTGCCAGATTTAGCAAGTAAAAGTACAAGACACACGGTTAAGTTTACATCTCAGGTAACAAATACTTGTCTTAGTAAAAGTGTGTCCCAAATTTCATATACAAAACATTACTCGTTCTTTATCTGAAATTCAAATTTAACTAGGCACTCTGTATTTTCTCTATCCATGCTACTGGTGGGGGGAAATTTACAAAATTTGTTTAAAATTTAATTTATTTAAAAGTTAAGTTAAATACAATTAACAAAGTAGCTACATGTTTTGATTAATACTAGGAAGTAAACTAGGTACCTTGTACAACATTAGGGAGACCAAATTTAATTAAGACGTCAGGGAGTTTATATCTGAAAAGGTGACTTTGGAGATCACAGCTTAAGGAAGGGATGAAACCTGCTATGGAAAACAGCTGAGGGAAAAGTCTTTCAGGAAAATAAGAACACTAAGCACAAAGTGGGGGTAGGGGTAGTTTGGCATATATCAAGGGACAGGAATTTAAGAGACATAAAATAAGGGAGCCAAGATAGGTAGGACTTTGAGCCCACTAAAAGAGTGTAGGGGAATTAAAGGGACACCACTAGAGCTGTGGGAGCAAACCAGAGAGAGGATGGTAGCTTGAATTAGAGTGGTGGCAGTTGAATGCAGGGAGGAAGGAACAATTGCTTGATGCATATAATAGGTGGTGCTCTGCTCTGAATGTTTGTGTCTTCCCCCAAATTCATATGTTGAAATTCTAATCCCCAAGGTGATATTAGGAGGTGAATTATATTTTTTAAAAAAATTAAAGGAGGTGGGACCTTTGGGAGATGGTTAGGTCATGAGGGTGGAACCTTCATGAATGGGATTAGTACCCTTATAAGAGAAACCCTAGTCACCATGTGAAGACACAGTGTGAAGATATCATTTATGAACCAGAACACTGGTGGTAGTTGGCCCTTAACAAACACCAAATCTGCCAGCACATTGATCTTGGACTTCCCAGTCTCCAGAAATGTGATGAATAAATTTCTCTTATTTATAAGCCACCCAATTTATGGGATTTTGTTATAGTAGCAGGAATGGACTAAGACATATGGAGAAAGACTGGGAGGAATTAAGGACACAGGGGAAATCATTATGGATGACTCGAAGTAGCTGGTATTAGTAGGACAGATGGTGATGGCCATTTACCAAAATAGTACAGAGGAGCAAGTTTGGGATGTGGGACAGAAAAATCTCATGCTCACAGCAGAGATCTGTGATAAATTAGCATCTTAGAGATTGTAATAAGAGCCATCAGAATGAAGCCAGCCACGGTGGCTCATGCCTGTAATCCCAGCACTTTGGGAGACAGAGACAAGAGGATTGCCTGAGCCTATGAGTTTGAGATCAACCTGGGCAATATGGCAAGACCTCGTCTCTACAATAAATCAAAAAAATTAGCTGGGCATGGTGGCACACACCTGTAGTTCCAGCTACTTGGAAGGCTGAAGCAGAAGGATCACCAGAGTCCAGCAGGCCGAGGGCTGGGGAGGCTATAAGCCTGCCACTACACTCCAGCCTGGGTGACAGAGTGAGACTAAAACTCAAAAAAGGGGTGGGGAGGAGTCATCAGAATGGATGAAACCACCAAACAGGAGAGTTCAGTGGGAAAAAAGACTCAAAATCATACAATATAAACATATTAAAGTATTGGCTGGGCGCGGTAGCTCATGCCTATAATTCCAGCACTTTGGGAAGCCAAGGTGACAGGATTGTCTGATCCTACAGGTTTGAGACCAGCCTGAGCAACCTGGCAAGACCTCATCTCTACAGCAAATCAAAAATTAGCTGGGTATTGTGGCTCATGCCTGTAGTTTCAGCTACTTGAAAGGATGAGACAGAGAGATCACCTGAACCCAGCAGGTTGAGGCTGCAGTGGCCGTGAGCATGTCACTACACTCCAGCCTGGGCAACAGAATGAAACTCCAAAATATAAATAAATAAATAAATAAATAAATAAATAAATAAATAAATAAATCTTTAAAAAGTAAAAAATATATATGGACATATACATGGGCCAGGCATGGTGATTAACGCCTGTAATCCCAGTACTTTGGAAGGCTAAGGTGAGAGAGGATTGCCTGAGCCCACAAGTTTGAGACCAGCCTGGGAAATTTGGCTAGACCTCGTCCCTACAACAAATCAAAAAATTATGTGGGTGTGGTAGTGCATGCCTGTAGTTCTAGCTACTTGGAAGGCTGAGGTGGAAGGATCTCCTGAGCCCAGCAGATTGAGGCTGCAGTGGCTGTGAGCATGCCACTGTACTCCAGACTGGGTAACAGAAGGTGACTCCAACTTAATAAATAAATAAGTAAATATATAAAATATATACATAGACTGGGCATGGTAATTCACTCCTGTAATCCCAGTACTTTGGGGGGGGCTGAGGCAAGAGGATTACTTCAGCACATGTGTTCAAGACCAGCCTGGGCAATTTGGCAAGACCTCGTCTCTACAATAAACCAACAAATTAGCTGGGCATGGTGGAGGATGCCTGTAGTTCCAGCTACTTGGAAGGCTGACACAGAAGGACCTCCTGAACCCAGTAGGTCGAGGCTGTGGTGGCCATGAGTGTGCCACTGCACTCCAGCCTGATATATATATAAAGAGAAAATAGCTGAGAGGAAATATGCCAAAATGCTACCAATTTATCTTGGGGTGGGTGGTGGGATTTATGGACAATTGTCACTTTTCTTCCTCATAGTTATAAGTACATGCCCTCCGCCAGGTGTGGTGGCTCACACCTATAATTTCTGCACTTTGGTAGGCCGAGGTGAGAGGATTGCCTGAGCAAATGGGTTTGAGACCAGCCTGGGCAACTTGACGAGACCTCATCTCTACAATTAAAAAAGAAAAAGAAAAAAAGAAACAAAACAAACAAGTACCTGCCCATGGTGAATTATAGTATATGCCAGCAAGTTATAGTAAATAGTGCTCGAGGGTCATGGATAAAAGCCCTTAAGGAGCTTTGGAGCCAGCTCCTAATAATTAATATTAATGGAGGGAATAATACTCCGCGGGACAAGAATATTTGTTGTTGTTTCTTTCCCCAATCAAAGAATAATAAGTAAAACAAAAGTAATATCCATTTGCCTTCAGAATGAGTTCTATAAATTTTACACTCTGAACTGAGTGCACTTTGGGATGCCGAGGTGAGAGGATTGCCTGAGTTCAGGGATTTGAGACCAACCTGGGCAACTTGGTGAGAACTTGTCTCTACAATAAATAAATAAATCAGCCTAGTGTGGTGGCATGCGCCTGTGGTTCCAGATACTTGGAAGGCTGAGGCAGAAAGATCACCTGAGCCCAGGAGACTGAGGCTGTAATGGCCATAAGTGTGCCACTGCACTCCAGCCTGGGCAACAGAATAAGACTCCATCTCAAAAAGTGAAAGAAAAAGAAAAGGTAAAGAAAGAGACAAAGGGAAAAATCTAGAAGATCCACGAGGAGGGAAAAGTTTCTGGGAATACTTCTAGACAGTGTAAGACCTGCTTATCTAACTGTTCCAAAATTCCTCACACTCAGTAGGCCCATGTCCCTGATTATATCAGTGATACCCTCCGAATTTTTATCCCTACTTCCTGTCCTTCCCGTTCCCAATACAGTCTCCAGACTGCAGTCACAGTAATCTCATTAAGATTAAATCTGATTACCTTGCTCCATTTCATTTTTCTTTTTCTTTTCGTCTTCCTTCCTTCCTTCCTTTGTCTTCCTTCCTTCCTTCCTTCCTTCCTTCCTTCCTTCCTTCCTTCCTTCCTTCCTTCCTTTCTTTCTTTTGAGTTGGAGTCTGACTCCTTCGCCCAGACTAGGGTACAGTGGCACACATGCTCACAGCCACCCCAGCGTCAACCTTCTGGGCTCCAGAGATCCATCCACCTCAGCCTTCTGAGTAGCTGGAACTACAGATGCACGCTACCATGCCCGGCTATTTTTAATTTATTTTATTGTAGAGACGAGGTCTCGTCAAGTTGCCTGGGCGGGTCTTGATCCCGCGGGCTCAGGCAATCCACTCGCCTCAGCCTCCCAAAGTACTGGCATTACAGGCTAAGACACCGAGCTCGGCCTTGCTCCATTTCTTAGAAAGGCTCCCCTCTCCATTGCCCTCTAGATCTAGTCAGTAGACCCTCTGACTCTCCAGTTTCTTCTTTTTCTTCTCTGACTTTGCTTCATGCTAAGCCATAATGACCCTCTCATGTAATTCCTTCAACTAGCCATTCCCCAACCCCTCCCTTTCTCTTCTGGTCCTTCAAAGCATTGTTAACTCCCTCCCCCACATTACTGGGTACTAAGGCAAAGACCGGAGTGATGTCACAACCATTGCAGCCTCCACCTGCTGGGCTCAGGTGATCTTTCTGCCTCAGCCTTCCAA